CCTATTTCTTTTAATGCTATGAATATGACCACAGGTGCTTCAATTTCTCTCACAACATGATGAAGAGTTGGTTGTGACAGCAACTTAAATGCTAACCCTTGCAATAATGGTATTGAAGCACCATCATTAGCCTACCAAGAAATTGGCTCCTCATACATTCTTTGCTTCAATAACATGTGGCTGATTGAAATAGCCCCATCCACTTGAAAAAGCACCATATTCAACGTAAACATTTTGAAGATGAGTTGTATTTTTTTGAAATAGCTGCTCAAAACACTTGCTCCGATTAGTACACTTCTTCATCTTCATGCGGTGTTAGTCGCCGAATGCCATTACTTCTACCTTGAGGCCAAGACTCATGATAATACTTAGGGACCAAGGAATGAGCTATGCAATGCAGGGGTGTGTTGCTTTTGGTCCATCTAGTTTCCAAAATTTCATGAATGGTGTCAAAGAAATTTGATTGTCTAGTGATATAATCTTTGTCTTCATGCTCAAATATAATTGCTTTCACATTTTCTATCATGGTGTCCCACATATCATATATAGAATGTAACACAGGAGCATCTGTGTTTGCAGCCCTTAGCATGCCAACAATAGGCTCTGTAGAACTCAAAAGGTAATCCAAGTCATCCCACCAAACATCATTTACTATGAGTTGCTTCACCTCACAAGCTTTAGCATCCACTGGATTCGTTCCATCTCCTTTGTAAATCTTCCATCTTGCATCCATCACCATTTTCTCCAATGCTCGCTTCACTTCCTTCAAATGTTTAGCCATGACAATGTGTGATGCAAACCTTGTTTCTGCAACGCTTAGTAATTCCAAATTTGAATCACTTTTGGAAATGACATTTGGCAAGCTATGATTCATTATGAAATTTCATATGTTATGAACATCAGTGACCAAGTTGGCTATCCATTTACATTCAGAATGTTGAGACGAAATTTGGGGGGGTTCACACATACTCTTTAATGCCAAATTCAGCCTATGCACTACACATGGTGTCCAGAAAATGTGAGGATACTTATTTTCAATTGTCAACCTAGTAGCCTTAAATTAGATCCATTATCTGTAACAATTTGAACAATATTCTGCTTTCCAATTTCTTCAATCACTAATAGAAATATGTTCGCAACATAATCTGTATCTTTTATATTTCCACTTGCATCAATTGTTTCCACAAACATTGCTCCACCAACATATGCTGTCATTATGTTTATGAGTGGTCTCTTCTGTCTATCTGACCATCCATCAGAACATATGGATACTTCTTTCTTTTTCCATGAATCTTTTATGGGCTAAAGCTTTCTATTCACATGTGCCTTTTCTTGTGCAAGCAATGTTGTTCACAACCTATCATATGTTGGGGGACAATAACCAGATAGTTTATAGTTTGCTGTCTGCCAAGGTCTATGATTATTTTCTAAAATGAGGACACCTTGCTAAATTTAATGACAGAGCAGAGGCATAGAACATACAAGCATCTTGTTTATCAGCAATTCTCTTTCTGTCACATTAAATGCAGCTGCCAAAGGTCTTGAAATTGAACTCTTTCATTTTTTCTTTTTTCTTTTTTTTTCTTTTTTCTTTTTTTTGAAGCAAGTCTGATCCTTTAGGTAGAAACACATAATCTGCTCTTTTTCTTACATCCCATTGTTGTTGATCTCTTCTTTTTTCTACCACTTCATGCTCCTTTTTGAATGTTTCAAAAACATCATCCTTTGTAGCTTTGCAAGCTTTCACTCCACAGTTAGGAAGCTTCAACAAATGAGCCTTGACTTTTGAATATGAGCCTGTTACTTTCTTATTGTAATAGTTGCTTGACCAACATCTATTTACTCCCCTACCTAATGGTATACTAAGAACCTTCACATGATTCCACAATGGTTTATCATCAAATTCAATTCCTTGAGGTTTTGTTGGATGTAGTACAACAACTTTTCCTTTTCCCTTCAGCTTTTCCTGGCCAGTAGATTTCGAGGATGACATTATTTATACCTGTAGGAGCATATGTATGTACAAAAAATTAGGTGACAACATTTATGATTATTATGCGATTCTAGTTCTTTGTAAAAACTTTGTTTACTGTAGTTTTTAGAATCTAATTTTTGAAATAATTTTTTTTAATGTTAATTTTTGGGGAAATTAGCTGAAAAATAAACACAAATTTCCAAAAATTCAAACGGAGCCTTTATGATTATTATATGAAAAATATATGATTGTTATGTGAAATAAAAGTAACAGTACTTCGTTGGTGTTGTTAAACTTGAGGGGAAAGAGATAAATAAGAGAAAGAGAGAATTAAAACATGTTTTTGCTTGATTTTTCTGATGTACCTTTAAATTTTTTGTAGGTAGTTGAGGGAACTTTAAAATGAATTCATTTTTAATGGTGTTTTATTTTAAAATCAAAAGTCCACAATGAACTACATAATTATATATATATATATATATATTCTGTCCTAAAAAAAAATATATATATTTGCTTATATAACATCACTCATTAATTATAATGATTACTGATTTCGTTTTTTCAATTTGAATTGCCAAGCTATTTGATACAGCCTAGACAATACCCTTGCAATAGAGAGTAGTTGCCTCAACCATAATGAGTTTTTTAAGTGAAAATTGTAATAAATAGGATAATATTAAAATAATTAGTAAAATTTGTACTAATACAAATTAGATATGGAGGAAAAATTTATATGTCGAATATAGAAAAGATAGAAAAACTAAAGAATAAGCATAAGAGAATATGATAAAAATAATTTTTCTTTCTTAAAAAAATTATACACAATTACAATTTAGAAAAAAATAAAGAATAAGCATAAGAGACCAAAATTAATTATAAATTTATGCTTAATAGGTAATGTCATATATTATGAATAAATTTATTATTTGGATATTATTTTTATTTACTATCATTACCAAAGTATTTTTTAAAAAATAAGTGAAAAGTAATATTGGCTTAAGAATAGATTATTTTAATAATTTTTAAATTTTTTAGTTAAAATATAAGGTAAAAAAAGTGTATGTTTGAAATAACTTTTTAATTTTTTATCAAAAAATATGTAAAAAATAGAGAGAAATATTTGATGTGATGTTTTTGGTTATTTTACTAGGTTAAAATATTTGTGTTTGGGAAGATGGTTGATTTTTTTTGTAGTTAGATGTGATGTTTGTGAGCCAAAAAATGAAATGATTATGGATTTGATATGGCATTTTGTCTTATTAGCTATTTTAAATCTTTTTTTATCTTTTTTTTTTGTTTGTTTGTGAATTTTAGCCCAAAATGCAAAAAAATAGCCTTTGCCAAACAAGACCATACCTGTATACCCATCTATCATAATTGTCACACACTTTCAAATTATCTCGAGAGTCCCATGCAGACCTAATAAGACCATCATTTTTAAATAAATCTTTATTTTTTTCTTTATTTGAATCAAATTCTATTGATAAAAAAAAATAAATAAAATTAAAAAATAATGTATTAAAAAATACTTAATAGATGAGTAATTGAGTATAATAAAAAATTCATGCATACGTTTGTTAGACAAATATTAATAGTGTTCTCATGGCACTTGTTAATATTGAGAATGTGCAAAAAATATATTGAAAAAATAACTAATTTAAAATAAATATATCAAATTTAATAATAATTTTTTCAAAATTAACATATTTTGTATCCTTATTTTCCTTACAAGTGTACCATTCACTTCAAAATAAAAAAAACTATGAAAATGCATTTATTTATAATAATGATATTACCACATAATTTTTGGGGGTTTTTTTTTTTAAGGTCCCTGCTCAGGGCCGGCCCTGAGTTCGTCGGGGCCTAAGGCGAATTTCGAAATGGGGCCTTTTATATTGAAAAAAAATTCATGGAATAAAACGATAAGTTACAATTTTTTATTTGTTTGTAACCATAAAAAAATTTACTTACACATATAATTATTAAAATTATAAATAAAACATTTAATAAAACAAATTAGAACAAAAATTAGGAAAAAATTATTCAATTAAAATTGTTATAAAGACCTAGGTAAAAATTTGAGCAAAATTATTATTCCACTAAAATCTAATAGATAAAGAAGGTTAAAAAAAAAAAAAAATAGGGCCATATATTGTATGTATTATTTTTCTTGAGCCCAAACACTTTTTTTTTATATATATTTCATTTAATAAATATGACAAATACCTTATAAATATGGGCTAAATTATACATGTGCCCAATAAAACATTTGGGGCCCTTTAAATTGATCCTAAAACCCAAAAAAAAAAACATTGAGCCTATAATATTTTACCAAATTTAGGGGCCCTATTGTTTTTTATTTATTTATTTATATATTTTCATTTTAATAAATATGGGCCAAATAAATATGGGCTAAATTATACATGGGCCCAATAAAACATTTGGGGCCCTTTAAATTGATCTTAAAACCAAAAAAAAAAAAAAAATTGAACCTATAATAATTTTTTAAATTTTGGGGCCCTATTTTTGGGCCAAAATATGGGGCCTAAGGCACAAGCCTTACCTGCCTTAGGGCAGGGCCGGCCCTGTTCCTGCTATGATGATTTTATAGCATAAAGGACATTTAATATTTTCATAATATCTAAGGTCCCTCAACATTGATCCAGAGAAATTCCAGTCCAGAGAAATTTCAGCCCAGAAAAATTCTATTCAAAGAAATTTTGGGCTTCCAAAGATTTTCTCTGGGTTCAAAACTTTGTACATTCAAATTTCTTTGGATCCATGGACTAACATAAAAAAAAAGAAAAAAGAAAATTCAATCCAAAAAAAACTCAATCCAACTCAGAGAATTTCTCTGGTTCAAACCAGAGAAATTCAATCAAAATCATAGAAAGTTTAATCTAAATTAGAGAATTTCTCAGGTTCAAATCAGAGAAAATTCAATCCAACTTTGATAATTTCTCTGGTCCAAACTAGAGAAATTCAATCAAAATCATAGAAAATTCAATCTAAATTAGAAAATTTCTCAAGTATCCGGATCAGTCATATTGTGCCCATGAGTATTGAAACTCAACGAAGAGAAAAACGGTACGAAAAACACATCAGCCGATTCCGGATCCGAAACCCTAACCGCCTCTCGACTCTCATCTTCACTATCATACACCAACGAAGCCATCATCCAATACTCCACGCTATGTTGCTTCTTCAGCCCCGAATTCGCCGGCCACGGTGGTAAAGTCCAGGAAGTCACCGGAGTTTCGTCGGATCTCCGGTGTTTCAGCATCCCGACGTTGAATCGACAGGGAAGATCGTACATGAAGACCCTGAGCGGCGATTCGGTGTTGTAGGGCATAGTGTAGTTAGGTAGAGATTGTAAGAGTGGGAAGAAGTGTGATCTGACATCAACGGTTCCGATATAAATGGAGTAGGTGATGAAGATGATGAGGATGAGTAGGAGAGAAAGGACTGTTTTTCCGATCATCTTCATTTTCTCTCTCTAGAAAGCTCTGGGTTTCTCTCTCTGTATGTTTGTATGTATGTACATGTCTGTGTGTAGTGAACTCTTTGTGTGCGTGTTTGATCGTGGTGATGAGTGAGAGTAGACAAAAGGAAGGGGGCTGAATTTCTCTTTGATAGATGGGAGGGACCTTAGACATCAAAAAATAATATTGTGGATGTCTTCCATTACTAAAAATGAGAGAGGGACTTTAGACTAATTTTCCCTAATTTTTATATAATTTTATGCATGAATACAATTTTTTAATTAATATTTTATTTTTTTATTCACATTATCATATTTTGTAAGTCGAGAATATCGTAGAAATAAGAAATATAGAAATAAGAAATAAAAGATTTAATAAAAAAATAAAAAAATTAAATCTATTTGTGATATGTCAAGAAGATAAATTAATGATAATTAAAAAATATTTAATTATTAACTAATCATCTTTTTGATATATAAAAAAAGTATATCTAATTTTTAAATATGAATAACAATACTCATATATATATATATATAGAAAAATGCTAAACATTCCAAAAGTTTTAATACTCATATATATACATATAAAAATGCTAGACATCCCAAAAGTTTTACCAAATTTTGTACCAAATGTCGCACATGAGTGTGGGACCTACATCATCACACTCATGTGGGTCCTCTATCCATGTAAGACGTTTGGTAAAAATTTTGAGATCTCTAATATTACTCATATATATATTGTTTGTATATCCATCTCGTATCATAATTATGCACACTTTCTGTACAATCTTCCTCTCAGATTTGGAATTGAATAACTTCTCTTATTAGAGATAAAAAAAGAATTATGAAGTCTCATTCTCATATCTCTCTCATATCTCTCTCAGTTCCCTTTCTCATCTCTGTTAGTTCTCCAGCGAGACTTGCGACCTTTGGTACAATCTTCCTCTCAGATCTGGAATTGAATAACTTCTCTTACTAGGGATAAAAAAAGAATTATAAAGTCTCATTCTCATATCTCTCTCATATCTGTCTCAATTCCCTTTCTCATCTCTGTTAGTTCTCCGGCGAGACTTGCAACCTCCGACGAAAGGCTTGCGATGACAGAGGAGAGGCTTGCGACCTCCAATCCAACTACAAAGGCTTGCGACCTCTGCTACCATTGGTCCAATGTAAGTTTCTCTCAACAACCCTTCTTCTTTCTCCGCTCATGTCGGCCGTGTCCGAGAAAACCATGTCGAATCCGACACATATCTCGCATCCGCACCCGTGTCATGTCGACATGGGTACTTTGTCGTAAATCGGCAAGTCCATGTAACACAGGAGCCAATATAGGTCTAGGAGCGCCCATGCCCTCAATTTTCAAAATTTGAATTTTAACCTGAAGTTTTGAAAACGTTTTTTGATTTTCTCCTACAAAAATTATGTGTCCCTACTTTTATTTTTTATTTTTTATTTTTATTGCCATTCTTTCATAAGCATGACAAACCATTAACTAGAATATGGACAGATTGACCCATTAATTGCTAGACAAATAAATCTAAGAAAACATTTTATTTTTATTATTTGTATTTTAGTGACATTTTTCATCTTTTATTTTTATTTCTTATTGCTTGAGAGTTGTATAGATTTGAATGGTACAATGATTTTTTTTTTAGGGGGGTAGCGATATATATGATATTGGAATAATTTTGAAATATTGATAATTAACCACAAAACCAAATCAAATCAAACCAAACAAAACTGTGTCCCAAATTGAACCTACTCAATAATTTGTTTTAGGGTTAATTACATTTGACTCCCTTATAATTTTACTCAAAAACGCATTGCTCCCTTCTGTTTTAGAAATACACACACAACCATCTTGTGGTATGGGGTGAAGTGTAAAACTAACATAAAATGTTATAGATAACATGTGCTGCTTCAAATTGGGTGACAAAGTGAAGGACACAGTTTGAAACCAAAATTACAAAATTGCCCCTAATTTGTTTTCCATCTTCCTACCTTACATTTCCTTATTCCTTCTTGAATCTGCACATTGTCCATCGCCATCGAGAGTCCAACACAGCACCGCCGTTGCTCTTAACACCACCGTCACGCACAACCCATAGCCACCTCCATTCTCATGGGAGCACCACCATCGTCACTCCCTCACTCTGTACACAACACATACACACTCGCGCACACACACACATATATATATATATATATGTATATATAAATTAGTTATTTAATTTATATAATTGTGGTAATAATGCTCACCAATTTTCAACCAGCCAATCAATCAAAAAGAGAAAAATGGTAAACCTGAAAGCATGTTCCAATAAAAGTACTTCATTCAAGGTTTCAAAATGCAAATAACAAAATAACTTTACAACATTAATAAAAGAATATATGTACTTGAAGAATGACATATGTTTTGTTCTTAAACCTGCATTGATTGTTCTACTTTCACCGTCGTTATCTTTTTTCTTTTTGAACTGTTCCTAAATTATGTGTTCCAAGTTTAGTTTCTAGAAATCCAAACTTCTAGAAATCCACCTTGGGGTGACCTTTGCTTGCATTGACCTTGTGGTGGCTTTAAACTTCCGTAGCCTTGCCTTTTGGCCTTGTCCTTGGGGTGGTCTTAGATTTCCTTGCCCTTGGGGTGGCCTTAGTTTGCCTTGGCGTTGGTTTGTCTTGGCCTTGGATTTCCTTGGGCTTGGATGTGTTGGCTTTGGCTTGCCTTTTCATTGTCTGGCCTTGGTGTGCTAAAATTTGTCCATTTACTTTTGCTGATAGTAGAGCACTTGTGGGTGTATTTATTTCTTTCTTTGTTTTTGATTGATAGTAGAAAACTAGCAAGTGTGTTTATTTTGATGTTCTATCATGAGTTTCTCATATTACTAATTTTCACATAAAACTTTCTTTTGCAGGAAAATATTACTATTCGACCAATGCTTCAAATGTTATTAAGCTACAATAAAGGATGTTTTATCAGCTTTGAAGAAATCTTGATTTCTAATGATTTTTTTTTAATTTAAATTTTTACTAAATGTATAATTTATTACACGTCTTCAACTTTGTAATAAATAATGCTGAGTTTTAATTTCCACTACCCTTCATTTTTCTTGCATCAACTTATGTTCAATATTTCAATTACTTTACACATTAAATTTTTATTATGTGAATGTGATGGAATTTAGTGAACTACCTACAAGGATTATATAGCGACCCCGGTCTTTTCCCATTTGATTATTGTATCCGGACTTAGGTTCCGTAGATTCTGTCAGTGTATAATGGTTGTTGTTGTCCCTTATTTTTTTTCTCATTTGGAATTATAGGAAGCAGTGAGAGAATTGTAAATGAATATGTTGTAGGCAGCTTTAAAGTAGTTGGGGCGTACAAAGTTGTCTTTTGCCAATGCCTTGAATTTTTTGCATACAGGCTAGGGGATATTTACTTTTAACCAAACAAATTATGAAGAAAAATTATCATCTATTGGGAAGCATATAGGCTGAGGTATTTACTTTTAACCAAACAAATTTGTTTTAATGAAGAAAATTTCTAAATCTATTGGGAATCATATAAGCTGAGAGTAGTTACTTTTAACCATACATATTAGTTGTAATGAAGAAAATTTCTCATCTATTATGAATATCATTGCTAATATGATACTAAAGATTGGATGGGAGTTTTAAATCTGCTTGTATTCATCATGACAAAATACTAGGAAATGAAACTGCCCATCTAGGGTCACTTTGGATGGAGGAGGTTCCAATTGAGGTTTTTTCTTGTGTCCATTCTAATTTTGTTTGTACTTTATAAATGAAATCATCTTTATACAAAAAAAGATTTTTTTTTTAGAAATTCTTTTAAGCGTTGTTTTTTAATCGTTACATTAATAGAAAACTTCCATCATTCCATACCTTTTCATCCGTAGAATTTATTAGTAAAATTCCTACCTTATTTATGTCTCTAAAATTTCTAACATATTCACATTTCATAAAAACCCAATAAATATGTTTTCCACTACAAAATCGACTTGGCTGTTCACAGAACAAATGATGTTCATTTAATTAATAAAATTACAACTTTTTCCTTTCTCTGAGCAAGGTCAGAAGTTTCCACTGATAATAGTTAAATAAGGATAAATAAATAAATAAATAAGATAAAATAAAAATAAAAAAAAAATAAGAAAGCTAAGAGAGATGGTTGTCTTGTAATATATGAACTTCAAATTCCTCCTACCAGTTCCAATTATCCTTTAGGCTCCGTCAAAATCCCTTACATATACAACACACAATCAATACATGTATTTTCTGTATTAATTCAACAGTCTAAATCAATGACTTAACCAATGTGATTAGTTTCAGTTTTCCCTAATCCACATGCAATGCC